GCTCAGCGAGGGATTCTCCGGGGGTGCTGGTACCCTCCTGGGGTGGTCTATCATTATGTAATTCTGCTACCGTGTTGATGGGGGGGGGGGATTTGGGCCTCCGGCCACCTGCACTCACCAGACGAAACGCGGAAGCAGAGCTTCCACTTCACGCCGGTATTGTGTGAGGTCGTGGTGCCACCCCGGTTTGAGCCGGCCCATACGTGCAACAGCAAAGCTACCGTGTGGCTCTACCACCGTTAGATGGTATATGTAGATGTCTATTGGCCAAAGTATCCATTTACCTGATGGTAAACGGATACTGTGGCCAATAGACATCTACATCTATCCTCGAATAAGAATCAAAATGCAGATGCGTCGTCATCCCTGAGGACTAAGCTTGAATGCCTCGTATCCAGTAAAAATGGTCGCGGTTTTCTACACTTACGCATTTAGGTGATATTTGATACTTAGTTGCGTTTGAGTAACGCGAAAATTTCAAACTGATAACACTTTCGCTTCGTGCTATCGCTCGCTCTTATACAGTTGGCGCGCTTTTGGCCACGTAGGACCCCTGAAGCGGCGGCAACTGTTTCATGCTTTGTCCTGCTTCGTACTGTTTTGCTTTCGAGTTTACTTACATAGGAAAAGATGAGAATTTCTTTCACTCTGTATTGTTGATATGAATTTTATACCTAGTATCTGCTTCTAAAAGATAGTAATTCGTGGGCCAAACAAAGGTACTACTCAGGTAAGTAAGGATACCTCCACAATGCTTACTATTCTCTCCTTATATCGTATACAACAATTAATAATTTACTTGCTTTAATAAATGTATATTAAGTAATTAAACAGCCATCCCAATTTCTGTAACAGCCTATTCGGGAGAATACACACGTATTAATTATAAACAAACAACAGCACTAAGACTCTGGCCTTAAAGGATGACGTAGAGGGTAGGTGCGACAACGATGGTCGTTACTTAGTACGCTTGGGGAGTTAAGTTACCTTAATCCGGGATGACTACGCGGAGCAGGCAAGTTAAGCTCCACTGAGTACTACAAAATCCTCCAACGTGATTACATGATATAGGCTATGTATTTCGGGCTAAATACGTATACAGAATTCCCAAAATCTCAAAGGGACTTCAATGTATATACACAAGACGAAACTGATATACAGAATATTTTATGTCTCGAAGAAGTCAGTTCAAAATTAGTAGTGGAGCGGTAGGGTTGCTAATTCTAAATCCGGAATGAAGTGCCACAAAATGGAGACGCTACAGGTAGCCCCTTCGAATCCGGTTTGGAGGAACCACAAAATGGTGATGTTAATGGTTCCTGTGTACGAATCTGGAAACGGATGGTCACTAAATGGTTAGGATGACTAGGTTGCCCTTCGCATCCGGAGAGACAGATGACATATCGATGACGATAACGACTAGTAAAAAAAACCACTATATCACCATAAAACGGACATTATAAATACAATTAATTCAGTAAATAAATGGCTTAATAATAATAATCTACACATTAATTTAAGTAAAACAAATATCATTAATTTTAATAACTTAAGCTCTGACATTAATATTGAATATAATGGACAACTTCTTCAGAACGCTACTAGTACGTCATTTTTAGGTTTAATTATAGACTCGAACCTGAATTGGAAAGAACATATACATAAAGTGTGTAACAAAATTAACAGATTTGTGTACGCGTTACATAAATTGACAAAAATAGCAATCAAAAATACAGCGGTCACAGCGTATTTCGCATATGTAGAATCTGTTATCAGATACGGACTTTTAATGTGGGGTAATGGTACAGACTCTCAAAAAGTATTTTTAGTACAAAAAAAATATTGGTTGCCTGTAAAGTCGGTATACGGGCGAAAGTTTTACGTGACAACGACTCTCTCACTCTCTCTCTCTCGCTCTGTCTCTCTCGCTCTTAGGCGGGCTAACTGTGCTCGAGTGGAAGGGACGCGTGCCTTTCACTTTTTATGTCTGTCTCTCTCGCTCTTAGGCGGGCTAACCATGCCCGAGTGGAAGGGACGCGTGCCTCTCACTCGCTCTCATTGTGAGCGCATAACGTGAGCGGAGCGTAACGCAGTTTCTTGAAGTGTCACCCGACAAACCAATTTATAAGACGTTGTCACGTCAAAAACGCTGTATTAGAGCTATTAGTAACATCCCATCAGACACATCATGCAAGCCTTACTTTAAGAGTTTAAACATACTTCCTTTTCCCTGCCTCTATATATTTGAGGTAGGCAAATTTGTAATGCAAAACAAGCACTTATTCTTACAAACTAAAGATGCAACAAAAATAAATTTACGGAACCCACATAAATTAGTACTTGACACAATCCAAAAAGTAAGCGCTTTCAAAAAAATAGCTATGCAATGTGTAACACGATATATAACAAAATACCCTCACATATTAAGCAATTACCTTATAATAAGTTTAAAATGTCACTTCGACGATGGCTAGTAGATAAAGCATTTTATACAGTAAATGAGTTTTTGAATTGTAGTGACTAAGTAGTTTTATCGTTAATTAAAAATCGATGCATTAATTAATTAATTTATATATATATATATATATATATATATATATATATATATATATATATATATATATATATATATATATATATATATATATATATATATATGAATTTATTTATTTATAAAGATTGTAAAATGAAGTTTTAGTTTGTTTATATAGATGAAATTTAGTAATTGATTTTATTATAAAAACTTTTGAATATTTGCATGCTGTTGAAAACAGCTAAATAGGTTTTCTTAACACATAACAGTATAACATCAATAAGAAAACATTTTGTACCTATTTAGTTGCAAATAAAGAATTTGAATTTGAATTTGAGAAGGAACCAATAAATGGGTGGGTATAGGGTCCTGGGTATTTGACTCCAGGAATAATGACCCCGAGATTTGTATGCGAGGTTAACGATAGGTGAATTGTATGTGCGTAGTTAGTTATAACCAAAACAAGATGGCGGATGCGGCAGGTGGCCGCGTTTTGGATGATACACAAAATTAAAAACATTATAAAATGGCTTTCCTAATTTGTTGAAATATTTGTCTCGATTGTTTTGAATACTAAATAAATAAAATATGGAACGTGTATATCATGCAAAGCTACATAGAACGAAATTAAAATGGTCACGGGAATAACGAACCGTTTGATCAACATTTTTTCCCCCGCTTTCAATTAACGCAACCAAAACATAACTGAAAAAAACATCAAACAAATATCCGCCTCGTTTAGTTTTGATCTGGGGCACTCGCATCACATCAGTGGTGGTCCCGCCATGAAATAGAGTTACATACGTTAGTATTTTTTTAAAACATCTAAAATAAACTTTATACAATTTTGTGTCTTGTATCACCCATATTTCAAAATACACAAATTCTTATTTAATCAGGTTTATATGTTGCTTCAGACCTATGTTTCATATGATGTAATGTGTTATAAAATTTTGTACATATCACGTGGACTGTATGCTCAACCTTATTTTGTTCAAAAATTTGTGTAAGCGTTTATTCCCTGGGCTACAAAAGCTTAAAATACAATTATTCTCATATATATATATATATATATATATATATATATATATATATATATATATATATGTATATATATATATGATAAGGGTATAGAACGACGAGTGAACGCAGGAAATAAAATAAATGGGGCTCTACACTCTATTGTGGAAAGTCAGAATGTGTCAAAAAAAGGCACGTATGGCAATTCACATGGTTCACGCATGGTTTTTATTAGAGCATTCCTATCCAAAAGAAATAATAATAACAATAATAATAAGCTTTTTATTTGTCTCAGTTTACACATGTTATTAAAAATTTACAAGTAGTAATCATCACAAACTTAACTTAGAAACATACTTAAACTTAGAAACATACTTAAGTAACATAACAGTAATGAGACAAACTGGCCTGTAACTCAGCTATGTGGTGATTTTAGGTCACCGCTGATATTCTGCCACAGCCGACTATTTTAAAAAACACAGCATATTAACCTAATTTTGGCATTGACGTAATACAACTAAAGAATAGACTAAAATGTTTATTCATAATATGAATAAACATTTTAGCAAATAAATATAAAGAGGTGAGGTACTTATTTTTATTTTGCCCACAGCAATTATCAGATATAAACGTTATGTTAACTTCTTTCTCACCTGCTTCTTCACACACCATTTTCAAATAATGATAAACACAGCTACCTATCTCCGTAGCTCCCTTTTACCTTGTGTCTCTTCCCAAAAATAGCAATGGACAGTACCATAGCTTTTAGAGATAATATCCATTGTTGACTCATTTTCCTCCTGAATTTTATTTAATTCGGTCGTAGTAAAATTATAACTGTTGAGTTTAGATTTGTAATAGAATGCCGAAGTTTCACCATTCGGACTTTGCATAATGGCTTGTACATCGTAGCATACACATATATTGCATTCATCAATGTTCTTTCTGTCGTTCTTTTTTTCTTTTCTGCTTAGTTCCTTTTCTTCTAAATGGGTATCATATTTATTTTTTAGTTTCTGCTTTTATGACTCGGTAGAATTGTGGTACTGTAGACAAAGATCACGTTGATCTTTTTTGGGCTGGTAAAAGCCAAGATTGAATTTGGTGTTAAATATTTCATTAAACGTGTGATAGAGTCCAGCAGGGCGCGATCTCTCCTTTTGCAAAGCTTCAAAATCTCTAAAGAGCTCTGCAATGCTTTTACTACTGCTGATGTACTCTCTGGAGGTAGATGCTCTTAGGTAGTGTGACTCAATGTGAGGTATAGAGTTGATGATGTCATTGATAAGTTCAGCACTTGCAGTTTTATGATTGTGTTTACCACGTTGGTCATCCTTTATGAAACCTCCAGTGTTTCTGCTCTCCGCCTATACGGTTCGAATCATCTTATGTGAAATATCAAAAGTATTAATAAAAAATACTTTAGATACCCTTACTTTTTCATCATTTACAGTAAAATAAAATGCGGATTACGCGGGTTCTGGGCATTGGTATACTTGTACTTAGGTGTAATTTTTGTGCTATTAGACAAAATATACATTCTTTGCAACTGTCTATCACCTAATGCCCAGAAGGCGTTAAAGATCTGCACCCTCTTAGAATTATCGATGCGATCACTGCATTTTAATCTACGGTTTCGGCCACAAGGTGATTTAATATTACGTGCAAGGACCAATTTCTTTGAATGTACAGCTACATAACTTTGACCTAAGTTTCGTTTAATTTTTTGCGTGTTTTGCATCCATTTATTTGGATCTGCTTTACGTTTCCTTGGTTTCGTTGGAACATAATCGTCAATAGAATTGCCAGCTGCTGGGCTCAGTGAACGTTGATGATGGTTTTTCTCTTGAATGTAAGAGGGGTCGTCATCACTGAGATCTACGTCACTTTCCTCCGAATGAAGTGGAGAAATTATGTATTTACAAACCGCTGTTCGGGGTCGAACCAATGGCAAATCGTTGCAAATTGGTGTCAATATGGATGGTGGAGAAAAATTGTCTCTAGAAGTTCGTGGCTGAGGGTCGGCGTTTTCATCTCTAGATGTACCTGGCTGTGGATCGGCGTTTGTATGTCTAGAACTATCTTGCAGTGGATCGGTGTTTTCATCTAAAGGTCGTCGCCCTGTGTTATGAGCATTAGAAGAACTAGTACTAGATGAAGTAATACTTGAGTTACTGCTGTTAGATCTAGAATTGCTAGAGCTACTAGAGCTGGACGATCTTGAGCTAGAAAGACGGCGCCTGATAGGTTTTTGAGTAGAGGTCATGACATTGATATTTCCTATTACTTCGTCACTCATCTCCTTACAACTATCATAATCAATTGGTTACTGGGTAACACAACTTGATTTTTTTTGGACTAATAAGTTCTAATGGTGTGTTCTATTTTTCTTCGTTACAAATCTGAAAGGCCCGCCGCTGATTGCAATTTTTGTCGACGTGAAATTTTTTGTCGACGTGAATTTTTTGTCACTTAGTCAAGTGTCAAAGTCAATGAAAACTATATTGAGTGTGCTCATTATGGTGACGTGATAATACGGTGACAAATATTTGCAGCGGCAGGCAACACCGGAGTGACTCGCCCTGTCACTCGCCCTGTGCATTACTATGGGAGTCCGCTCACTGGTGACTTTTTGTCACTCGGCCGGCGCCGCGCGTTCGGAGTAGACGTATGCTATTTAAAGTATTTGTTAAATAGTATTAATATATGTCTCAAATTACTATGTAGATGATTGTGATATTGCAATTTTTTATGCCTCTGATTAATAAAGATTTTTTTGTTTAATTAAGTAGTTGATGTAGTTTTTGTTACTTACCTCAAAGTTACCGTTAACCTTTCTTCTGCTGGAATAGCTTTGCAAAGACAGCAACTCATCAAAAGAGTATTACTGACGTAATTCAGAATATATAGTGTAGAATTTTCCTTTAAATAATCTTTCCGTGTATATAGGATGCACCCAGTAGTGTTTTTTCCGTTTCATTTTTCTTCTACGTATTTCAAGAGCACAAATCACAGCAACCTCGTTGAAGTCCATTACAAAAATGAACGCGATTTGTTACCCAAGAACAGATTCAGTGAGCGCATCGTGGGTGACAGCAGGCGACAGTAATAATAAATCACGGTGACAAAAAATTGCAATCAGCGGCGGGCCAAAAAATGACATAAATAAAGTCAAGACAGTAAATTACAATTAATAAAATAAATTACAAAACTTGAACAAAAAAGACAAAAGTCAAATTACATTTTCAGTTCCCAAAGAAAGATCTTTCTCTCTGTCGCAATCCGGTCTATGGTGACTTGGTGATTTAAGTAGATTCATTATTCTTCGTGATCGGGATTCCATTTTTCTGAAAACACATTAAACCTAACAATACTTATACCAAAAACAAGAAATACCACCTATCTAGTAAATACTGATTTATATTTCTGTAAGTTTACCATAACTTCATTATTTTACTTTTCATTTAAAAGGCTTAAATTAAAAAACAAATTGAATGTTTCATGTAAGTAATGGCCTATTACAAAATACGTCGTCGTAAATAAAAAAATTACATACTATAATGAGCCATTATGATATAATTCCCTTTGACATCTTTAGTTTTTGATAATATAGCGATCTATTATGAATTAGACCCAAAAAAAACAATATATTGTATAATATTACAGATAACTACAAATTATTCTAAATGATACAAAATATTCAAAATAAAACTCACCTGTTTTTGTCATATAAGGGCACAAACACGAATTGCACAACGTTTGAACGGTCTTCCTCCGATAAGTATGGGCACGTTACTAATTGCGACCGTGTAGCGGTAAGCTTAGGAGAGGAGCGGGAAGGGTGTGAGAGGGACACAAATACATTTACTGACTCATTATTGCCTTTTTTCTCTCTCTGTCAGCGGCAACCGTTAGATAATTTGGTTTTATGCCCTAACCATTTAAAATAACATTTCACAAAAAAATTGACTTGAGCCTTTATATTAGTAAGGGTGCGATATGTGCTATGCAAATTTAGTAAGTAGTAGGTAAAGGAGACAATCGCCTCTGGGCCTACCAGAAACTTCAACGACTCTCCATGGTATTAGTAAGAATTAAGTCTGTAGTTATATATAATACTTCATAACTGCCTACAACTTTTGTTGTTCAAGTAACCATACTTTACATTTCTTTCTAAATAAATTTGTATTTACGATCTCCTGCAAAGGAGAAGGTATATTGTTCCAAATTTTGGAGGCATCATATTTGAAACACCCTTTTGCTTTAACACGCTTATAAGTTGGAAGTATATATAATAGTTTACCCCTTCGTCTCAAACGTGTTAGTCGACATTTTGGAGACAATTTTTCATATAAGTAATGAGGACATTGCGAATTATTTAATACATACATATACAAAAACACTCACGCCTGTCACCCAGAGGGGTAAGCAGAGACTACCGACTTCCATTTAGCACGATCCTGACATACCTTTCTTGCCTCTTCCACATCCATATACCTACGCATACATGCTCGTCGGTTAATGGTACTCTTAATTTGGCCCATTTTTAGTAATTCGCCAATTTGGTCGACAAACTTCCGCCTAGGACGTCCCTTTCCGACTATTCCATTCACTTCTGCAACATATATTTGCTTTGTCAGTCTTTCCGCATTCATTCTTTCTACATGAACAAACCATCGAAGCATTCCTTTCTTAATCCTGGTCACCGCATCATCTTTCAGAACCACACTTTTCTTTTATCACACAGTTTCTCACCCTGTTACTCAGATTCAGCCCTAACATACTCCTTAGTGACCGCATTTCTACTGCATTTATTCTACTCTCGTGCTTCTTCTGCCACACCCAACTTTCACTACCATACGTTAAAGTAAGGACTAATAAAGTACTGTGAATTGCCATACGTGCCTTTTTGACACATTCTGACTTTTCACAATAGAGTGTAGAGCCCCATTTACTTTATTTCCTGCATTCACTCGTCGTTCAATATCCTTATCATATCTCCCATCCCTGCTGAATACACATCCCAAATATACGAATTCATCCACTTGCTCAATTAACTCTCCTTCTATTCTTATTTCACATACCGTTTTGCTTTCACCTCTTTCAAAAACCATCACTTTTTTCTTACTTGCGTTCAATTTCATTCCCCTTTCTTTTAATGACCTGTTCATTAATGTAACCATCATTTGCAACTCGGCCACCGACGACGCAAGTATGACTTGATCATCGGCGTACAAAAGGCATTTGATGGTTAACTCACCCATTCTTAACCCGCATTCTTCAACTTTCATATTTTCCAAACAGCTGTCCATAAATAGGTTGAACAGCCACGGGGAAGCTACACAGCCCTGTCTGACACCTTTATGGATACCAAACCAGTCCAGAACATACAGAGACTTTCAATGCGTTCAGCGTTTGCCATAACACATCCCTGTCCACTCTGTCATACGCCTTTTCCAAGTCCATGAACGCACAAAAAACTTTTGGTTTTTCGCCAAAAACTTCTCCGCGATCATGCGCATGGAAAAGACTTGATCTGTACATCCCATTCCCTTTCTACATCCCGCTTGCAAATCCCAAATTTTTTCATCAGTTGCTTTCATAACTCTTTCAATTAGTACCTTAGCATACAGTTTTCCCACAATGCTAAGAAGGCTGATACCACGGTAGTTTTTACAGTCCTGCTGTGACCCTTTTCCCTTATATATTGGGACTATCACGGCTTTGCACTAGTCTCCCGGTACCCGCTTTAGTTCCCAACATAAATTAAACAAGGTGTACAGCAGGCCTGCCACCACATCCTCTCCAGCCCTTAGCATTTCGAGTGAAACTCTATCATATTCGGCTGCCTTACCTACTTTCATGCTTTTCATTGCTTTCATTACTTCATCTATACTTATCTTCCTATCTCTTTCATCTTCTTTCGGAATATCTATTTCATTTAGTTCACACTTCTCCTCACTCATAAATACGCTTTCAAAATATTCCTTCCATCTCTTTAGACTCAACACTTCATCATTCAGGATAGAGCCATTCTCGTCTCGTATCGCATTAAATCTAGGCTGTTTTGAAAGTCCCCTAGTATTTCTTACGAGTTTCCAGAACATTTTAATATTTGCCTGGAAGTTATCCGATATTATTCTATCATTCTTATCCGTACTTTCTTGCTTTTTCCTTTCAACTAATTCTTTTACTCTCTTATTTAAACGTTTAAACTCTGCACTTTTTCTTTCATTCTCATCATTCTTACCGCCAGAATTACCAGCTTTGGTCGCTAGTAAATCTAGCCATGCTCTCTTCTTTGCTTCAACTTCCATACGTACCTCATCATCCCACCATAACGTATTGTCTTTCCTTTCACTCGTTACACCACATACTTCGGTAGCTGCATCCACTAAACCTTTCTTAACATTATGCCACACATTCTCCAAGTCTAACTCATTCACACACAACTCATCCAAATTACTTATATTTTCTCTCAGTCTGCATTTGTACTTGTCTTTCACATCCTCATCTTGTAACCTCTCAATTCTTATACGCTGTAACGCAGTGGTAGACACAGATGTCCTATGCCGCCAACGTTTGAATAAACCCCTAATTCGGCATAAGACCTGGTAGTGGTCCGTCCCTACGTTGGACCCCCGGTAAACCCTTGTATCCACCACTGCGCTCCTCATTCTTTCATCCACAGTTATGAAATCTATCATGCTTCTATCATCACCTCTTTCCCAAGTATACATGTGAATCTTCTTATGACGAAATAAAGTTTTCGTCACAAAAAAATTCCTTTCCACACATACGGTGAGGAGGCTTTCACCATTCTCATTTATACTTTCATCACCAAACGTTCCCAATATCCTTTCATAACCAAGCCTCCTCACCCCAACCCTTCCATTAAAATCTCCTAGCATAATAATATTTTCATTTCCCTTACACTTCATTAACACCATCCTTACCATTTCCCAAAACTGCTCCCGGATATAAGTGGACTTAGACATGTCTGGGGCGTAGACCCCTAACACAAACAACTTCTTTAAGCCCACTGTCATTCGTATCCATAGCAGTCTTGGGCTTACACATTCATACTCTTTCACACATTGGCCCATTCTTTCTGAAAAGATGATACATATTCCCTGGCATGCCCGCTCGATCTCGTATACACCAGACCAGTATGCGGTATACATGCCATGTGCAGTGATATCGTTCCCCTTCCTTTTCGTCTCATTTACACATAATACATCTATTCCTCTATCATACATCATAACGCCGTGTAGAGGCGGTTGAGAATATCCACTACCC